GTAAGTGTGGTTAACAGTTTCTGTGAAAGGAAGAACCGATATTTATATGATTCTAAAATTTAGTATTCTTCTGAAGTGTTTAATGGTATGTAAGTAAGAATTGTAAGTTTAAGAGGAGTGAAATTGCACCACATATGTGATAGGAGAAAAAAAAATGTCTCAAACTCAGTTTTAATACATCTTTTAGATTCCCCCCAATGTCCTATAATTATTGTGCTAGCAGTTCCCTACAAATTCTTCATGCTAACATCCTCCTGGCTATAAGGCAATATCTGAGTTTACATCTTATGGGTCATTATCACAGTTTGGTTTGTATGGTGCAATAAGAATATTCATGATGGAATAAGTTGTCGTAATTTTTACTACTATTACAGGTCTCTAAACCATTTATGAACTGTAGTCAAGATACTGCCCGTTTTTATAAACCGTAAAATGCAAAGTTTAACTGTTACCCACAGTTTACATAGAAGCTAGTAAAGTGTAACTTTTTGCCTGTCTTATAAATCAGTATAATTACATATTCAACTTTAATTACTGGTGCGTCTGTATTGGCAAGGTTTATATGTTATATTTTATGCAAGACTATGACTCCTATTAATATTTAGCAGCTAACTATATCATTAATTACTCTAAAATCTTTCCTCTACCATCTTTTTAATGGAGCTGAGAGAGTAGACATATTAAAAATTGATGTATTGTGGATTTCAGAAATGTGTATGACACTTTAGAAAATTCTTGGCCTTACTCATAGGCCAAGCATATCCATCTTTTGTTTATTATTAAACAGTGTTGACCCTGTTAGAACTGAGAATTCACGGGAAAAAATTCTAATCTGAATATTGCAATGTATATACCATTCATTGATTGAATGAGCTGTAACTTACAGCCACACTTTTTAGAGTTAAATATTGCAGATTCTAATTTCATGTTATTGAGGTAAGAATTGTTCTTCCACTTTTATATTTTTTCCTGATCTTTGTATTAAATACCTAGTAGTCAAAGATCCAGAAGAGAAATATAGTCTTTATATGTGCCTATTTCTATTTGACCTTTCACAGAGAGTATTTTTGTTGACTTTTAAGCATCTGATTTTATTTGACATACTAATGTCTTTAAGATCTTGTGCCTAATTGCTTTATAGGACTTTTACTCTATCACCTTTGTGAAAAACACACTGAACATTAATGTGTTTTAGCAGGTTCCAAACCATTACTTTTTCAAAATGGAAAAATTTGTCTTTTGGAAGTGTCTTTAGATGTATTAAATAATACAAAAGAAGTAATAAAATTCGAAGTAGAAAGAACATGAATATATGCTCTTGAGAGTAGCAGTACTCTAAAACAAGGAAAGTGAGCAATCAGACAAAAGTTTTTATATCCCTGCTTTATCCTATCAGCCATGCATTGGGTAGCTTGAGGCCTTTTACTTTCAGCAGTTCTCCTGAGTATGCTAATGCTTGCTCCCTGTATAAAATGCTAAAACAATAAAACTTTAAAGAGCAAACAGGAGTTAGATCCTGTTTTCCCCTTTAAAAAAAAGACCTATTTCAGAGAAATGAAAGACATTCATAATAAAAGTGTTTAAGCTGTTGATGCAAGTCCCTGTGCAAGTAGGCAATATAGGATGGTTATTATAGACCTTATATAGAAGATATGTAGAGAAGTAATTTTTACAATGTAATTGTCTGGTGATAAGTATATTGAAATATTAAAATTAAAAATTAATGATTTAATAAAATAGTTTATTAAACATACTTTAGAACTTGAAATAATAAATAGGCTAAATTATGGCATTATGAGGTTAGTAGTATTTTTCACTTGACGATTGCTGTTGTAGATTTTATACTATATTATTAATTTAGTTGCAGTTTAATTGTGAAATATCTCAAAGAAAGAATCATGTTATAAAGCAATATATAAGAATTGTATATTTCATACCTGATGCATTGCTGCTGTGAATTTGTAAAACTAAAGTGTTTATATTCAATATCCATAACATGATATTAATCCATGATTTAGCACATGTAAAAAATAACTATGCACATTTTCCAGAGAGAGAAAAAAGGAAAGCTCTTTTTGGTTTGTTAGAGACAGAATCCAGACTAGATGAAAATTAGTAAAAAGTCCAGCTATTTTCTTTTTCTTTCATATACATTATAATCAAAATTTCAATCTAATTGCACAAGACTGAGATGGCATTTTTCTGCTGCTATCAGTAATTTTTGTATATTGGATGTCAAATACTATTGTCAGAGTGTCACTTCATCTCTACAGAATTTTTAGTTGATTATACTTAAGAATTTTAAGGCATTTAAATTCCTCACTCTATACATAGTGAGGAAAAGAAAAAATATTGTTTTTAGCTGAAATGTGGCATAAGTATAGATATGCAATTCAGACTGTTTTGTGAATTCTAACAGAAATGAAAACATTTTTAGAAAGTATTTCAGTAGTTTGTGAGTGCGTCCTAAAGTTAAATCATGGCATGTTTTGTTGTTCTTTTAGAGAAGGGTAGTTATGTTGATGCAACTGTAAATGAGAGGCAGAAAAGTCTGGTGGAATTTGTGATGGTCTCTGGTGACATACTTTTGGGGTTCTAACTCCAGATAAGTATTTAATAGCTGGATAGAAATGGTTTCTTCCTCCTCACTTTTTTCAGCTGAAATTTAGGTAAGTAATAATAATATCTACCTCATGGAATTCTTGCAAATGATATTAGTGTCCAGGGCATCAGAATTTCTCTTTACTCCTTGTCATATGTATTCACAATTAATGATTTGTATTACCTCTGATATTATAGATATTTTTTCTATGAAGAGACAGTGTTTTTATAAATGAGATATAAAATAACAAAATCTTTCAGATTTTAATATATTTTAAGTACTCCATAAGTGTATGATTACTTTCCTAAAGTTACTTTTCTTTCTCTTCCATTTCCTTTTACAAAAATCATGATGTGAGCGGATCCCTAACAGTGAAACTAAATGAGACAAGAATTTTAGGAGCACATTAAGTGAGCACTTAGCAGGGTAAGATTTTTGAGATAGGAAGACCTTATCTAAGGTTGTAGGGAAAGAGTTGTTCCAACAGAATAGTATCAACCCAGAATGAGAACTAAGTGTGACAGGAATTTAGAATACAAAAGGCAAAGTAGAATATAGAATACCTGAAGTGGAAGCATATTTTCCAATGTCTTTAATGTCAGCTAATGGTGCTTATTTTAGTCAGTGTTTACTTGTTAATAACACGGGCTAAGTTTCACAAGATCAGAGCTGTATTTTAAGAAGAGTAATCCAAAAGTGTTAATAATCACAAGTGAATGAAATTCACACACGGTAGAATATTCTAGAATTGGGAAAGACTGGGAGCAGATTTAGAGTTTGTGCATCTGAATTAACCACCAGTCAGGGAATGAAAAGCTAGGAATCAATATAAGAAGTACTGTAAAAAAATATAATAGTGCAAAGCAGTGATTGGACCCTGGGGATAAAGGGGTAATTAAGGATAATCATAGCACCAATAACAATAAAGACGCAGGAGTACAGGCTCAAGAAGGAAGATGATGACTCAAGCATTTTACTTACTGACTCTTGGAGCATAAGTGACCTTAGATTTGGGGAAAAGCAAAACTATACACTAGTTTGTGTTTGTATAGTTTTTTTTTTTTATTTCAGTTTCCAAAATGGGGAAATCCTAGAATAGAACATAGAAGTATGCCCGAGACTGGTAGAAAAGATGCATTGAGGCTTTTGAATGATGACACAGCTTTAGGAGAGTGTTCCTCATAAATTGTATAGAGGATTAGAGATGCCAAATTGTCATCCATGTTTTTCATTTTAACTCTTCATACTTCAGCATAGTTTCCCTCCATTCCAACTCTTACTCTTCCACAAGTACCCTGAATGCCAACCAACATTTATTTTGCCTAAACTACTGCCTTTCTGCTCTTTCATTTTTCTGATTTTCATCCTTTCCTTCACCCATATTCTATCTTTCTCAGAGATAGAAAAACTTCAATTTTTCCAAGATTTTCCTAATTTTTATGTTGTCAGCACCCACATTCTCCTCTATGTCTCTGTATGCCTTGTCCCTTATCGATTTATCTGGACTAACACAGTATCTGTGAAGCCAGAACTGCTCCTACATGCCAGTATGCTAATGTCACAGAAGTTCCTACTTTAAGGAAGAAATTATATTTTAAAGATACTAAGGTATCTGAACCCCTAACACATGGCACTGTACAAAGTAAATGTTCAAACATAGGATAATGCTGATGAAGAGTCAAATGACAAATCACAGTTAATTAGAAATCGTTTGACTTCATGAGGTAATCCATATAAAGAAGTTCTAGGATTGTTCGAGAACATGATATTAAGAAGAAGAGATTACGGAATATCATGTTGTCTCTATGAGGGAATAAGAAATCTTCATATTGATCAAGTACATTTGTGAATTTATGCCTCTGATTTTGGTTATTTGATTTGTATTTTATGTGTTCAAATTTCAGTGAATAGAAAGTGACAGGTTCTATCACTCCATTCATGTTTATCTTCGCAGACCTTCTTACATTTTATTTATCTTTTTGAAGGTGAACTGAAAATGAAACAAGTAAATGGAGGTTAATATCACATAACAGATAAATGTTTAGGGGGTTAGCAAAAATAATAATGGCTAAAGTCAGGCAGAATAATATAGATTCTCATATTAATTTTTTGAAGAGTGTTTTGACCTCTTTCAGGTAGTTTTTTTTATATATAAATTTCCTGTTGCTTTTGAAAGAGTTTTAAATCTGTTTATGGTCTGAACTGTCCTCCCATTGTTCATCGATTTGCTCGAGCAGGAACCAGTAATGTCTCCATTATGAGACTTGTTACTGTTTTTGGCATATCAAATACACCATGGGGAGCTTGCCAGGCTTTCCCATGCAAGCGGGATACTCTTAGTAGCTTCCCGGGTCCCTGAGAGGGGCGGAGGAATTGAACTTGGGTTGGCCACATGCAA